TCTAAGGATTTTGAAAATATAATTTAAAAAACCCCCAAATCCTAGGAGTACTAGATTAGAATCTGCAAGCATCAGGAATTGGGCAGGTCGTAGTGCCCTGTTCCTAATAAATTAGTGGAGAATAAATGGAGAAATCAAACTGGAGAGAAGTCAACTGTTAATATGGAAGAAATGAGTGTAATTATGGGAAAATTGGGAGCAAGGACCTGTGGTGTGTAACCAGAGCAGCGGGGACACAAAGAGGAAAGATTTGCTCAGCACTGAGTATGAAGTAGAGTCACAAAATCCTTCAGGTCAGGAAAGACCTTTAGATTATTGAGACCACCTGTTCCCCCAGCACTGCCAAGGCCACCACTAACCCATGTCCCCAGGTACCACATCCACGTGACTGTTAAATCCCCCCAGGAATGGTGACTCCACCACTGCCCTGGAGAGATGTTTGGAACCCTCTTCCAGGAGTTATCTGTCCTGTGAGTGCATCCTACAAGTCTCAAACTCTGTGCAGGGTGACTGAAAAGGGTGGTTTCTCACCTTCCAGAGCAGGACTTAGGGGAATGATGATTTCCAAACCAGGAAGTGAGTGATGGTGCAGAGCTGCCTAAGGAAGCGTAAGCTGCTTACGGTGGATTAGATGAGTGCCTGCTTAGCTCTGCAATTAGATGGGGAGATGGTGTGATAAATCATGAGTAACCAGCTTACCTGTCCCGTGATGTTGTTTATCTCTGGGCACATGTGCACCAGTTTCCAGAGGGTGGTGGAGCATCTGCTTTTAAAGGCATAGGTCTGGAAAAGAGGGTGAATGGATGTGCTTTCTGTACAGTTTTTGGGAGTGTGTTTGCTATCCTTGAACATCAGGTTTGCTGTGGAGTTAAGCTCTTTCCAGAGGAGCCCAGATGTGTGTCACTGGATCAGGGTGACACTGCAGGGGTGGCTTGTGTTTCTCAGGGGGTCTTCCTTCTATGAGCCCAGGTTGCTCCAAGCTCTGCCCAACCTGAACACTTCCATGGATGGGGCAGCCACAGCTTCTGTGGGCAACCTGTGCCAGGGCCTCACCACCCTCACAGGGAAGAATTTCTTCCCAATATCCCATCTAACCCATCCCTCTGTCATCCCGGAAGGCTGCTGAGGTCACACTGGTAGCCTCAGCATCTGCTCCTGACAGCAGAGAACAGGAGATGCTGCTGCACCTCCATTTGTGGTGCGTCCATCATCTGGTTCCCACACTGGTTGATCCCACTGGCACTGCCCCCTTCTCCCCCTATGGCTCCCAGAAGCTCCATCCTTCCCTGCATCTCACCTTCCCGAGCTCAGGAAGGGCCTGTGCTATTCTTAGCACCTTGGCAGAAGCCACACGCAGGAGCCTTTGATGGAGGGAGCAGGAGTAACCATGGCATTCTCCTGGAATGGGGAACCATGGATTACAGACACTAAAAGGCATAAAGCAAATAGCAGGATTATCCCTGGTGTGGTGGTTTTCTAGTGAGCAGAAGGCACTGCCTGACTTTCACGTTTAGGTGAGGCACTGTAAATAACCTGCAGTTAAAAAATAATGCTAATTAAATTCAGATGCAATAACAATTAACACTGCTGAGTTCCGTCCACTGGATTTCCTTGTGACTCTAATTGACAGAGAAAAAACTCCAACCCTACACAGAAAAAGGAGGGGAGTTTCTTGCTTGTGACTCCATGCTGGATCCTCGTCCTGATGCTGCTGTTAACCTCACATTTGCCCTTTCCCTGTTTTATTATTTTCATTTTTAATAAAAAAATGACACTTCACAGAATCACGGAATCATTGAGGTTGGAAAAGACCTCCAAGACCATCGAGTCCTACCTGTGCCTGATCCACACCTTGTCACCCAGCCCAGAGCACTGAGTGCCACGTCCGTTTGTTCCTTGGACACCTCCAGGGATGAGGACTTCACTACCTCCCTGGTCAGCCCCTTCCAATGGCTGACCACCCTTTCCATGACAGAATTTTCCCAGTATCAAACCTAAACCTCCCCTGACCTTTTCCTCTCATCCTGTCCCTTGTTCCCTGGGGGCAGAGCCAGATCCCCCACCTGGCTCCACCCTCCTGTCAGGGAGTTGCAGAGAGTGAGAAGGTCCCCCCGAACCTTCTTTTCTCCAGACTGAGCCCCCCAGCTCCCTCAGCTGCTCCTTGCAATCCAGACCCTTCCCCAGCTCCATTACCTTCTCCAAACATGTTCCAGCAAAATCAGACAATCTGAATTTGCTGGTCCCTTTGCTGGTGAGCAGGACTGGAATCTGGGGAGCTGCCCTGAAGCTCTGTCCGTGTGGCACCCTGGGGTTGTCCCTGCCTGGGCATGGTGGGTGCCCAGCACCTCCCTCACCTTGATGCAGAAGGCACCATGCTCTTCTCTTCCCTTGGTTTTCCAGAGGAGAGAGGAAGGAACCTGGTGGTTTGTGCTGCTCCCGCAGCGTTCCCGGGGTTCACTTAGCATGCAAACGGTGTTCCCTGCACAGCAAATTCTGCTTTCAAGTTCAGCGAGTGCTCAGGCTCTGCCTAAATGGGCCTGCTAAAGATATTTTTTGACATTTGAAAATCCTATTAAGGCCACTCCTCCATCTCCCCTCGCTCCCTCCCTGCTGCCAGCTCACCATGGAGGCTCCGCAAAGGTTTCTTTAGGCGGCCGGGTCACGTCCTGCACAACAGGCCTCGGGAATATGGGTCACAACGAGACGAGGGGAACAAAAAGTATATTGTCCTCGTGTCTTACGCTGATGGCTGATTGAGGGACTCCCTGAACAGACAGTTTAGGGTCTTAATGAGGTACCAAACATGAGGTAATTCAGAATATGCCCCTTTCTGGCTGCATGGCCTGCTGGGAGCGGGTTCCTCGCGCCTGCTCCCGCTCCAGCTCCTCTTTTCCAAGGGCATGGGCCTGGCAGCACGTCCTCAGAGAGGAGTTTGCCACGGTTCCTGTTCCTGTGTGAGTCAGTGATGAAGCCCAAGAACACACTGTTGATTTTCTTATTTACAAATAATTCTCATAAGTTGAAGCTGTTACTCATTGACTTTAAAGCCAGGGCTGGAGGGTGGAGCAGGTCCATTCAACCTCTTCTTCTCCAGGCTTTTTAAAATTAAATTTAAAGAAGGATTTCTATTAAATCCTCGTTTTCTGGGAAATTCCTGAAACCAAGAACAGCCTGCAGTGGGACAATCACCAGTTGTGCTGGTAGGTGTGTAATTACCTAGGTTTTGGGGAACGGGGATGCAAACAAGTTTGCATACATTGAATTACAGGCTGTGTTTTAATAGTATGTTTTTTAGGTCTTGGCTTGGATCCAGAATTTTTTCGTGCTATTATCCTCTATTTACAGCTTTCAGAAATCAGCTGATGTCACTGCACATATGTTTAGAGCCGTTGCTAAGGTGATTAGCTCCAGAATTCAACGCCTACGCAGCGCTGATGAAAGGCTGAGAAACTGCTCGGCAGCGTCTGTTCGGAGCTTTGTCGGCTGCAACTATTAAGAACCATAAAACAATATTACCCAATTTTAGGGTAAATACGTTGGCCTTGACTGATAATCATGCATCAGGTTTTACAGGAACAGAGGCTTTATCTGGCACGTTTAACTAAACCTGAGAACATTTTTCACCAGGAAGGCATTTAAAATTGCCTCGTTCCTCATTTCCTTGAGCCTCTGCAAGGTCGGTGTGTTCAGGGTTTCCTCTGCCAGGCAGTGACAATCCAGGGCCAGGCTAGATGTCTGTTGTCTGTCCCCTGGGCGGGGACACCTTCCACTAGACCAAACTGCTCCAAACCCTGTCCAGCCTGGTCTTGGACACTTTCAGGGATGGGGCAGCCACAGCTTCTCTGGGCAACCTGTGCCAGGGCCTCACCACTCTCCCAGGGAAGAACTTCCTCCTAATATCTAATCTAAATCTCCCCTTCTTTAGTATAAAGCCATTGCCCCATGTCCTGTCCCTCCAGGCCCTTGTCCAAAGCCCCTCTCCAGCTCTCTTGAAGCCCCATTAGGCACTGGAAGGGGCTCTAAGATCTCCCTGGAGCCTTCTCTTCCCCAGGCTGAACAACCCCAGCTCTCTCAGACCCAGAAATACTCAATCTCTAGTGGGAGTCTGTCCTCTGTAAAAGAAAGAAAGTATTTTACCTTCCTCTCCCCTTGTAGACAACGAGATCAAGTTGCCTTTCCTCCCAGGACTGGGATCCTCTTACCTACTGAGGTCCTGCTCCCAGACCAGCAGGAGAATACCTTTATTCAGGGCAGAGAGGCCATGAAGTACAATCAAGTTGCCCACAGCCTGCACCAAAAATGGACCACCAAGTTACATTTCATAGGTGAAAACTCCTTTTTGTTTTAATCAGTGCATTAAATATGTACACAATATCATCTTTGCAGTCCAAAACACTTTGGTGTCCTTAAAAAAACCCTAAAAATTAAAAATCTACTATTTAAGCTGTGAAAATATGTGGATAAATATATATATGTGTATTTTCCTCCAGTCATCCAATATCATAGATGTTCACAAGCATTTTCTTCCCGGGGAGTTCAGTGCTCTCCCACTGATTATTTTTTCCTTTCCTTTTTTAAAGGAATCTGGCGAAGGCTTGACCTAGTTTGGCTGTCATCACACCGTGAACAGTGCAAGCCTTCACCTAACATAGCTCCCTATATTTTTGTTCTCTAGGCTGTGCAAAAATAGCCACACACAGCCAACAGCTGGGTGTGAGCAGCAACCACGTGGGATTTGCAAGGACCGGGGTTGGAAAGGGGGGTTGGCTCATTCCTTCCCTACTCCCAGCATTGGGGGGGGTCGTTGGGAGGAAGCTGGACCTGGTCAGTGGAAGGGGAGCCCTTAAGGGGAGTTGTCGAAAGGAGGGAGAGGGACTTTGGACAAGGGTCTGGAGTGCCAGGACAAGGGGGAATGGCCTCCCGTTGCCAGAGGGCAGGGTTAGATGGGATATTGGGAAGGAATTCTTGGCTGTGAGGGTGAGGAGACCCTGGCACAGGTTGCCCAGAGAAGCTGTGGCTGCCCCATCCCTGGAATTGTTCCAGGTCAGGGGTCTAGTGGCAGGAGGTGGAACTGGATGAGCTTTAAGGTCCTTTCCAACCCAACCCATTCCCTGATTCTATGAGATGTTTGTGTGCAGAAGTAAAACCTGGTTTACAGCTCCTGTTACCCCCAAAATGTGGAGTTTGACTGAGGGATCAGGAGCTCCAGCACCCATGGGAAGCACATCCTTGGGCTTCCTCATCTGGCTCTAGAGCACCTGTATGCCCTGGGCAGGAGGGGGGACCATCCCTGGAGAGGCCCCCACTGCCTGCCCAAGGTGGTCCTTGCACGGTCCAGCCTCACTAAACATTCTCCCTGCATCTCAAGCAAACCCATTCCTGGGATTTCTGGCATGGATTTTTCTTTCCAGAAGTGGGTGTTTTTGAGTGGATCAACTGGGGGCAGTTGTAGTCTCGCTGTGTGGATTCCCACATGCAGGGTCTGTGCTGATCCCCTTGGAGGTTTCCAATGAAGGAGAGGAAAGGTGTTGATGAAGCTCATCATCCTTCCATCCAGTCTGCCTTGTAAGCTGTCTTTGTGCCCCTTCCCTCCTCTTCCTCCCTCAGCTTTCCTGTCCTGTGCTCAGGGATGTTCCCAGGGCTCGGGTAGAGTGAATAGAGGTTGCATAACCTAGCTCCTGCTCCATGGGGCCCTGCTTTCGGCCTGGATTCTTTGGAGTGCTGGGCTGTCCCCTGCCATCACCTTAAACCTGCTCTCATGTTGCTGGGACATTTAACAGTTCCCACAGAGCCTGTTCTGTGTGTGGGTCATGTGGGGATCTGCATGTGGGGGGGGTGCAGCCACGTAAGCCCTCCTGGAGATTTGAGCTTTTATTCTGGGAATCCAAATATAGTTCCGTGTGATCGAGTGCTCACGAAGAAATGGAGTAATCCATACTTGGGACAAGTCCAGGGCTTTAAATTCCAAACAGCCTCATTCCCGGCAGCATGTGCTGAGCTGAAGGAGTTGGGAGAGTCAAGGTCTTTGCTTCTGATGGTTTAATTTGGACAATGAGCATCACTTAATAGTGGCGTTTTATTGCATTCGTTTCACTCTTACTTTCCAAAGAATCCTTGTGTTCCATTCAGGCTCCTCCCTTTGGATGCTAATGGACTTCTGCTGGGATTTTGGTGCCTGAGACAATGCCCCCATTCAGGGCCTGATACAACGGGGAGGGGCAGTTCCAATGTCAGTGAATATGCAAAGCCCCATCCTAATCAATGTTTTTTGCGTGTCCTGGTCCCACAAAGTGCTGAGCTGGTCCTTCCTGGTCTGCACGTTTCTGTGCTAAAATAAACGTGTTCCTCACGCAGCTTTTAGAAATCAAGGAAAAAAAAAGTTCCTGGTTCACATCTCAGCAAGAGCAGAGCATCTGCAGGAGTCGTGGTGGGAGGAGAGCGCTGCAGTGTGGTGGCCACAGCTATTTTTGACTGGCCTTTTTGAAGTAAAAGTAAAACCCACTACAAATAGCACTTGGTCCTCACATCCTTCATCTGTGGGGCAGAGGGACGATGTGGTGCTGAAGGGTGGGGACAGCAAAAGGTGCTACCACAGGATGAGGGTGCTGTGAGGCACAGGTTGCCCAAAGAAGCTTGAACACTGGAAGTGTCCAAGGCCAGGTTGGATGGGGCTTGGAGCAACCTGGTGTAGTGAAAGGTGTCCCTGCCCATGGCAGGGGCTGGAACTGGATGAGCTTTAATGTCCCTTCCAACCCAAACCATTTCAGGATTCTGTGGTTTAATTTGCTGTCATACATCCTAGCAGAGGACCAACAGAGCCATGTTTTGCTGTAACTCCAACGCCAAAATATCCAGTATATCCCAGTATTTTGTGGGATGTGCTGGGTACATGGACTCAGCGCAGTGGAGAAGCGCTGCCCGTCCTGTCAGCCCAGCTCCTGCACAGCCTGCTGTCTCCTGCACAGTGTGGCACCTGTATGTCACACAGCAATCCTGCATTTTATAAAAACCACTGGCTCAGGAACTGCCTGGTTTGTCTTTACCCCCATCTGTCCATACAGCCCTTTGTCCATACACCCTCTGGTCAGTACCCAAAGGAAACAATCACACTTTGTGTTTCACAAGCTGTTTTTAATCTCTTGGCTCAATCCCAGTCACGAGGCTCTGAGGTGAAAGGGTTTAGAGAGACCAGAATGAATTGGGCCCGTCCCCATCGGCACCAGGAGGTGGCCACAAGGGATGCAGACCTGAAATAGCCGGACCGTGTGATCCAACATGTCAGGAAGTACAGGAGGCCCCCCTGCTGCTTGAGTTGGCCTTGGGAATGGTCTGGAATGCAGCAGACCCTATGGTGAGAACAGGAGGCTCCAGAGATCCATCTCTGGTGGCTCCCAGTGATGCAATGCCACTGGATGAGTCTTTTGGCCAGTGGCATTTGAGCCAGTCGGGGCTCATGTGTGGCCTTAAGGACTTTGTCACTCATGCTTTATTGGTGTGAAGAGTTGTTTGACCTCTGACAAGTGATGGATTAGCTGGGAAATGTGGGCTGGAGACCTGGCCCTCAGGTCCCACCGCACTGAGCTGTGACTCTTAGGAGCATCAGTATGGAATCATGGAATGATTTGGGTTGGAAGGGATCTTAAAGCCCATCTCGTTCCACCTCATGGCAGGGACAAGTTCCACGAACCACATATCTCTGAGCTACATTCAGGTGTCCTTCAAACCTACACCCGCACTGACTGCCTGGGGAGGAACTGACTCAGAGCATGTCAGAGGGTAATTATATGTGGAGTTTTCCTTGCCATTTATCTCTTGGACTTCATAGAATTGTTCCCTTTTGCATAGAGGGTGGGGTTGAGGGGGAACACTGAAGGCCCCCATGTGCTGCAGGCCAGGCTGGGGAAGGTGCTGGAGATGTTTCCTGCTCTGGCATTGCTCTCTGATTGCTCTGCCCACCCACCCCAGGTGATGGGCTGCTGCAGTGCAGGGGTTGGGTGAGATGGGGTGGGATAGGTTGGATGCCATGGGGTGGGATAGGCTTTACTCATATGGCACCAAGGCGTTAATATTTTCCCCTGGAATTTTAAATAAATCCCTTCATGTGCAGGCTGGGTTGTGACTCACACCCTTGGGCTGATGGCAGCAGCAGCGTGGTGAGCTTGCACTGAAATGAGGACAGAATTTGGCTTCTTAAGGCTTGTCACGTGTTAAAGATGCAAAAGGATGTAAAGATGCAAAAAAACAAGGATGAGAGAGAGAACCAGTGGGTGAAGTGCTCTGATCCAGCAATTCCTGTCTGTCCAGCATGACGGGGATTGGGGAGCTGTTTCCAGCTCCAGACCTACAGCATTCCCTGCACACGCACATGGTTATGGACACTGTATTATGACCCAGAACAAGAAACAGGTGCTTATTAACATTAGAGAGCCAGAAAATTGCCCTCTTTGTGTGTGAGTGTATTGCCTCTGTGCTCTGTGAAATGCGGAATGTGTCTTTAAAATGGAAGAGAGTGGAAATGGTGCTGTGAGTGACCTTTGATTCCACTATGGAAACCTGTACTGCTGACTTTTAAAAAAGGGTAAAAAACCCAAAAAGTAAGCTGAATTAAATATGCTGGTTAAAGCTCTTCCTATAAAACCATGTGGCAACGTCTGGGTCCAGGGGGGTAGGGATGTGAAGAGCATTATGGGAAATCTATTTGGGGAGGTCTAAAGAGAGAGGGAGAGAGCAGAAAGTACAACATGAATGAATGACTTGACTTCAAATCTCTGCACTTTGACTTAACTTAGGGAAAATAGGTTGTGACAGTGTATGAGTCATACAGAAACGGCTTGGAAAGGGAGGAGTATGTGAAAATAACTTTGGAATTGGTCAGTGGGGACCTGTACCTACAGAGGCAGGCAGTGAGGGAGGGTAGTGGATGGGAACGGAGCACATAAGTCTCATGGAGCTTGTAGTAAGAATCAGTCTCTTCTCCCAGGTAACAAGTGACAGGACAAGAGGAAATGGGCTCAAGTCGTACCACGGAAAGTTCAGGCTGGACATCAGGAAGAATTTCTTCTTGGAAAGGGTGGTCAGGCATTGGAAGGGGCTGCCCAGGGAGGTGGTAGAGTCCCTATCCCTGGAGATGTTCAAAGAAGGATTGGACGTGGCACTCAGTGCCCTGGCTGGAGTGACAAGGTGGGGGTCAGTCACAGGTTGGACTCAATGGTCTGGGAGGGCTTCTTCAACCTTAATGGTTTTGTGATTTTCTGTGCATGGAGCAGATAGGTTCCATGATGAGCCACTGCTTCCCCTTGCTGGTTCATGGGCTCTGGTGGGGCAGGAGGAGGAGGAAGGCTGGGGAAGCCCTTGAAGGTCACTGTGCTCCTTAGCTGCTCAAGGTGATCAGCGTTGCGGAGCAGCACCACAAACCCTTGGCCATTGGAAGAACATGAAAGAGTTTCTGTGCAGATCTATTTATATTGATGATCTCGAGAACACAGTGAATAAAAAGCCCTGGGAGCCACTGGGGAGTTAATTTCAAGTGCTGTAGATACACAGATGGCTGTTTCCTTCCAAAGATAAGGCCCAGGGAGGGAGGATGGCACAGGCGGATGGACGTGCTCCGGTGCACGGCCCCTCCGGTGCCAGGACATGGGGCAGAAGAGCCCGTTTGGTGGATCAGCACCCTGGGTTGGGCTGTTCCATCCCCAGGCTGTGCTTGCAGGGAGCTGAGTGCTCCCATGGGAGCAGGTTTGTACAGGAATCTCATCCAAACCAGGCTCTGACTAACTGATGGTCCTGGTGCATGGAGGCACTGGGTGCTGAGGCCAGGCTGAGTTTAGGATGTGGCTGTGTGAGCCACCTTGGAAAACATCTGAGGTTATAGATGTGAGGTCTCTTATAAAACAGGGCTCACACAACAAGCTGCTTACAGGGAAAACTGGGCTGCTGCAGCACCCAGTGCATGCCGAAATCCCTGCCTTGGAAAGCAATCTCAAAACCTATCTGTCTTGACAGGGCCTCTTAATAGCTTACTAATAATGCCTGAAGATTTGCTGGAACTGTGCCATAGCCTTGCTGTAGAATCACAGAATCATGAAATGGTTTGGGTTGGAAGGGACCTTAGAACTCATCCGGTTCCATCCCCTGCCATGGGCATGAACACCTTCCACTAGACCAGGTTGCTCCAAACCCTGTCCAACCTGGCCTTGGTAGGTTCACAGTGTTCTGCTCTGCTTTCCTCTAAGCTGAGATCCCCTCAGTTTTCCATGATGAACTAAATCCCCCCAATCTGGGCACCTCAGAAGGTGTATTCCAAGTGACCTGTTGGAGGGAGGCAGCTGGAGTGGGTAGGGAGGGATCTCCTCAGCTTCTGACAAAGGTGCAGCGTTCAGGGATGCTTTGTGTTGGGGTCAAGCCTGTGAGTTCATTATCATCTACAGCCATTTCATCATCAGGAACATGGGAACTGCTTGGATTCCTAAGAATTAAGATTATTGTGTGAATTCCACAAGCAAAAATTCCAGCTCCATAAATATGTAGTTTACTATGACATGGGGTTTCTGCCTCTTGGGAGGGGGAAGGAGTCATGTAATCCAAACCTACAGCACTGGATTAAATTCTCATGTGCAGGGTATTAAATCTCAGGTCTTGCTCTCATTTTTGGAGGGGAGGGGGATTTCTGGGACAGACCAGCCCATCATTGCTGAGCTGAAGAAGGTTTTTAATATAAAATAAAATAGGAATCAGAGTGCTCAGTGCACACCTGGGCATCACCAGAGAACGTTTGTTTGTCCTGACAGCTCTGGGTGTTTCAGAGCATTTGTGAGGGGAAGAAGGATGTCATACCAAGGGAGGTTCAGCTTGGACATCAGGAGGAATTTCTTCCTGGAAAGGCTGGTCAGCCATTGGAAGGGGCTGACCAGGGTAGTGATGGAATCCCTGTTGTTCAAGGTGTTCAAGGAATGACTGGACGTGGCACTCAGTGCTCTGGGCTGGGTGACAAGGTGTGGATCGGGCATGGGTGGGACTCGATGGTCTTGGAGGGCTTTTCCAACCTCAGTGATTCTGTGAAAGCAAAAGCAAATGGAATCCAAGAGCTTTGCTGGTGAAATATTGCGATGGTCAGTTTTACTGTTGGGAGAATGTGTAGGTGCAGCCAAGCACATGAAGAATCCTTGGGCTAAACGGGGAACAAAATGCAGCACAAGGCTGAGTTTTATAAGTCCGGCAGTGCCAATGTGCTCCGGTGGCCAGGCAGTCCCAGGGTCTCCTCCCGGCCTGTCCTTCCTCCTGCTCCCCCAGGCTCCGCTTACACCGTGTTAATAATTACTAGAATGTACTTTCAGGCAGGTTATTTGTTTTCCCTCCTCATGATGTGCAAGAGCGGATAATGAAATTAATTTGCACACTTGGTGAGTTTGCAAAGCTGGCTTCAGCCACGTTGCCACGATACCGCGGCCGTGCCAGCGGCTCCCGGGGCCAGTGTTTGCACAGCCTGGGCAGCCGGCTGCTGTTGTGGGCAAACAGAGCTCAGGGGGAGATGGGGTGTACCCAGCCAGGAGAAATGCTCTCTGCAGAGCCAGCACAGAGCGTGCAGGCCGTGAAACCCCTTCCAGGCTGTGAAACCCTTTCCCAGGCATCAAACCCCTTTCCATTGTGGAGTGTTAAACGCTGCCAGTGCCAGTCAGGTCAATGCCAAAGGAAGAAATTCCAGGGTTGCTTCTGCAGGTTGTGGAGCTCATGGTGGGATCACCTGGGCAACCTAGGAGCCCACTGGTGAATTCAGGTGTTGTATTGACCCTTGTCTTTAAGTCCTAAGCCCCGTGTCCACCAGCTCAAGGTGTGTGGTACGTGAACCTCAGTGTTTTCCAGGAGCACCAGGCACTACTCCTTGGAGATGGCAAGGCTCTGCTGGGCTGATTTCAGCCAGGGGGTGGCTGGTGAGGCTGCTCAGTCCATGGGAGGCTCTGGAGAGGTGGCCGGGCTTCACCATGCAGAGGATTGGAACCCCAGTTCTGACGTTTTCTGTCTCCCTCACCATTGTGCTTGGCCAAGAGATAAAATCACTTTGAGACAAGACCTGGTTGAGCTGTTTTCTGTGCCCTAATTCACCACACAGGTAAAGGACCAAACCAGGAGTGTGAAGCTCTGCTGAAGCCCAACAGTCCTGTCCTGCTCCCGAGGCCCCGGAGGCTGAACCCTCTGCTGGCACCCACTGGGCATCCACCCTCTGACACAGTGGGAGCAGTCTTGGTGTGGCCCCGTGCCGGGCTGGGTTCCGCCAGGGTTCCACCCTGGTTTGTGAGGAGCTTTAGTCCTTGGATCACAGACAGAAGCTGGCTGTGCTCACCTCTTGAGACTGTGATTCCTGGGAGGACCGGCAGTGTCCCCTTTGCCTGCCATGATCCTGATGGGAGCGTGTGTGCAGTGTGCCAGGTGCCAGCCACGTCAGCCTGGCGCAGACCTGGGGGACCAGGTATAAATAGTACCATTCCACTTGTTCTGTTCCTACCTGTATCGTCATGATCTCTGCTCCAAGGCTTGGCTCCATGGATGTGTTATTTTGTTCTGGCTGCAGCCTGGCTTTGGACTGCTCTTGGGGCAGAGGCTGCCTGTCAATTCTGGCTTCTGTTTCTCCCCCAGGGTCACCAAGCCTGACCTTGATCCCTCCTTTCTCTGAATTCTGCTACTGAGTGCCACGTTGTCACACCAGGTCCTCAGCCTGGGGAACCAGGCAGATCCAGGACACAGCTGGGAGACAGACCTGGCTTTTTAAGGAAGACAAGGAGGTGACAGAGTTTTTTACCACCCCACCCCACCCCTTGCCACACTTATATATTGTCTGACTGTTGCCTTTTGGAAGGTGCTGGGGCTCCTTGACGAGCCATGGTGGAGCTGTGCTGTGGTGCCAGGGACATCCAAAGAACCACACGCTTCCCACCATGTGTCTGGTCAGCTGCCCCAGGTATTCATAGAATTATGGAGTCATGGAATGGTTTGGGTTGGAAAGGACCTTAAAGCTCATCCAATTCCACTCCCTGCCATGGGCAGGGACACCTTCCACAAGACCAGGTTGCTCCAAGCCCCGTCCAACCTGGCCTTGAACACTTCCAGGAATAGAGAATCCACAATGTCATTGGGTATTCTCAGTTTGACTCGGTTTTCAGCCAGTGTTGAGGCAGCAGCTTTATCACAAATTGTCCCAGAGGCCACATGTCCCTTCATTGGGCTCAAAGTCAGGAGGGGCTCTCAGGTTTTTTTGAGGGGGGACACGTGTCCTTACAGAAGAATCCATTGAAGCAGGTCCACTCTTACAGCTTGTCTTCACTCCTGCTCAGATGGTACCTTCAATAAGAGCTTTGGAGAGGAGATTTGGCTCCCTATATAGGAACCTACCTGTTTTGGTAAATGTTTTCACATACAGTAGATCTCCAAAAGCTGTGTAATTTGGGAGCTGGAGCTGGAAGAAGGAGAGCGGCAGGTTTGTGGAGAATTCGCCTTGGTTCGATGCTTTGCAAACCAGCAGTGGGGTTGTGCCGTACCCAAACCTTCTCTGCCAGCCCCTGGACTAGGATGGCCCCTTCCCTTGCTTCTGACGTGTGTCCAGCCGGGGTCCTGGCAGTGAGCTGAACCAGGTGGGAGCATCCTGGCATCACCATGGCCGTGGGCAGGGACCTGCCGGCACCTGCCACAGCAGAGCCACCGCTTGTTGAACTGAGAACAGGAAAACCAGACGGGGAGTTTGGCTTCTGGAACGAGATGAGCAGAAGTGACGAAGATAACACAGGCAAGGTGCTTCTCCCCTGGCAGTGGAGCGCATGTGGTTTGCTTGGAGAAGCTCGGGATTTGTGTGTTTTCCACGTTGGCTGCAGCACACGGAGCTCCGTGAAAGCCACAGTGAGTGTTTCCTGTCACACAGCGCATTGAGCAGCAGCGTGGCAGTGAGCTGGCGTCAGCAGCACAGCTCCAGCCGGGGCTCAGCTCCCAGCTCGGGCTGAAGTAATGGGGAAATCCTCTGGTGATATCAGCGTGTCAGGGCTCAGGGAGCTGCCATGGCTTTTTCAGTGGTACGGAAAGCATGGTGACAGTTCTGCTGGTGGGGAGGGAGCAGCAGCAATTGAGAAGGAAAGGACCCAGCTCTGAGTGTGGCACCTCATGCATGGCTGCCCAGAACTGTGCATGACAGACTCGCCGTGTGCCCGCTCCCCTTCCTTCCCTCTTGCATGGAGCTGTGAATCCAGCAGAAGCCTTTCCCCCCTCCGTAGCCTGGTGCTTGCCCAGCTTTGGCATCATGCTGTGCTGCTCCATGGTGCCTGGTGTGTTAAGGAGAAAGGTTTCCCTGCCGAATGCTGCCCTCGCACAAAGCTGGAACTTCACATGGCCCAGGCTTTTTTCCCCCCTTCCCCAAGTTCCTTCCATGCTTACAGAATTTCAGTTTACTATAAGCTATGAATCCATCTTTTCATAGAATCCCAGAATGGGATTTAAGGGGCCTCAAAGCTCATCTCATTCCATCCCCTGCCACAGGCGGGGACACCTTCCAGTATCTCAGGTTGCTCCAAGCCCCGTCCAACCTGGCCTTATGTCCATCTCTGTCATTTAAAAGCTGCCAGTAACATGGCAAACAAATCTGAGTGTTACTGCAAAGTGTTTTGTACACAGATAAAACATTGGTCTGGAACCTGCTGGCCTCGATGGGAGAGGGAAAAGAGGAAAGCAAAGCTCCTGGGTTTGCAGACCCCAAATTCGAGGAAATCAGTGAAGTTCTGTGCTGGATTTTCCCTGAAACCTGATTCCTTCAGGGCCCCTGTGTGAAATTCATTCTGTCTGCTCCTTGCTCCTGAATCCACCAAAATATTCCTAAGGTTCCCACGCTGGGAGGAAGCACAAAGATGCTGAGATGGAGAGAGGGATCCTGGGAAGAATTGTGCAAGAACAGGGAGGACAAGGAATGTTTTGCTGCCATTACCACAGATTTTGCTGCTTGCAGCTGGGAGATGTTACTTGTCCACGTTGCGACATCGTGGACTGAAACCAAATTTAAACACAGATATCCCAAAGCATTTGTCCAAATTCCCCGAGGCTCAAGCAGAGATTTCACTGGGGTGTAGCTGGAGTTGCAGAGTCCTCAGGTTGGTCATAGCAGGACCTTCATGCCGAGGGCCTCCTCAACTTGAAGGACCCTGTTCCAGTGGCCATGGCACCTTTTGCAAAATATTTTTGATTTCTTTCTTGTGTAATCAATGTGCTTGGTCTTGATCTCTTCTCAGGTTTAAGGGCATGTTTGAATCATGTGGTTTATTTGTAGTTAAAGCTGGGTTTTGTCCTAGACTTTGACATAGTGAAGCATGTGATGGTGAAAATTGGGCAGGACTGGAGTGAGTCTCGGGGTTTACTGCAAGGTGTGTGCCCATTATATGTGTGTGTGTGTCTGTGCGTGTGTGGGCATGTGCACGTGTATGTACAGATATGGACACAGGGAATATGGAGTATTTATGGAATTAAAGCAGCCCGGACTCCCAGGACCTTGTCTCTGTTCAGTTGTGTCACATCAGTGCCAGTTCTGAGTGCCTGAGAGTGAGCAGGGCACAGAGTTATTGGTGATGAGGCCATGTAACGGCGATGCCTGTGCTCATTTAAATGGCCAAAAATGAGCCCAAATGCACCTTCGTCCTGCCGCCTTCCCAAGCCTTCCTGTTGTGCAGCCAAGCAGTAGATTGGGCTCTTAGGAGCCAGCATGAGCTTTCTGTAGGAATGGTGTTTGTCCTGCAGCTTCCACTTGGGACAGGGCATTAGTACCAGGAGTGGGAAGGTGGAATATATGGAGGTGGGAACATGGAGGAGGGAACGGTGTGGCAGCAGACCCTACCAGCCCCGGGTCCCCAGTGCCACCGGCCAGGTGGGTGGCGCCAGTCGCTGCCAGGGCACCAACAGCTGCTGGTGCTTCATCTGTCACCCTTCAGTCCATGTGATTCAGCATCAAACCAAGGACAGCAGTGGTCAGGAATTGTCTGTGCTAACTTGTTTCTCTGTCTTGAAAATCGGATCCAGCCCGTTTTTGGGGATTAGCTGGTACTCTTGAACCCTGTAAGCTGCACTTCAGCGGAGCAATCCACAGCCCCAGCTCTGTGCTGGGCATGGGGGGCAGAGCCCAGCGCCCTAAACTGTCCTGGGAACGCAGTGGGTTCTGCAGATTTGTGTTTAAATTTTGCCAGGATAAAGCAGCCCAAGGGAATCCCTGTCTTTCTGTGCTGGTGGGACTTTCAAGACCCTACTCACATCCCTGTGAGCTGCAGGTGAAGGCTTCGCCATCCCCAAACTTCTCAGCTCATCAGGGTTGCGTTTCTTCCCTGTTTTCTGTGTGCAGGGTAGTTTGGGCTGTGTTTTTCCTCCCGTGTCCAGCAGCAGTGGAAATATCTGTGTGAAGTTGATCAAGGTTTTAAAGGAGGTTGTGCAGGAACTCCAGCAGTGACTGTGTTGGCAGACACAGCTCTTCCCTGGCTGATGCCTGATAGATTTCTGTACAAAGCAGAGATGGGCAAAGCACGGAGTCCTCCTTCTCCAGCAGGTTTTGATCCAAGCTGGTGATTTGGAGCCATCCTGGAGAGGACAGCAGTGTGATAATCACTCTCCCACCCTAGATAACAGTGGGGTGGTGGGACCCTACACTGCTCCAGCCTTCCTGTAGCACTGTGGCTGCTCCAGAGGTTTCCTCATCGCAGCTGATCCCGCTCCCAGAGCACAGCTCGGAGCACTGACTCAAACTACAGTTTTGTAACCTTGGCCAGGAACCAGATCATCCATCGGCAGCATCCAGAAGTGGAGCAATACCAGAGGCAGCTGCGTACAGATAATTGAGGGAAGGGTTTGTGGGAAAAACTGCTCCCGGAGAAACCGCACAGGCGGAGTGGCTGCTCGTGGATGCAAGGCACTGTCAGGGCTCGCTCCTAGTTCGGACTTTGTGTCTCCCAAGAACGGTCCCAGCTGGAGGATTCTGAGTCACAGTGTGGTTGGGCAGAAATGTCCAAATATAATCCTGTTAAATAGCAACACTTCGTGTAATAAAAGTATGTGGAGCTGTCGGAATTTGGGACTGTTGACCTCCTACTGGGGCAGGAAAAGACACTGGCAGGTCACAGGTATGGGGTTGTGGTTGGAATTCAACCCTTGGCAGGGATGGGTTTGTGTAGTGGGTCATCACCAGAGAACTGTGGAGGAGCTAGACATTCATGGAGCCCAGTGAGGTCATGGGCATGATCCTGACCATGGCCCTTGGAGATGTGGGTGCAAATCCATGTGCAGGCCGAGCTACTCCGCTGTGTTGTTTTCTGCAGGTCCTGAGGAACGCCAGGAAAGGGGCATCTGTTCCACAGATGATTGAAATACTAAGAGCTGCCATAATTCAGTAATATTATTTAATTCAGTTTAATTTAAGTAACTTAGGCTGCAGGATTGTTGTTTTTGATTACAGTGAGGGTGGGGAGGCCCTGGCACAACTCTGACTGCCTTGTCCCTGGAAGTGTTCAAGGCTGGGTTGGACTGTGCTTGGAGCAACCTTGTCTAGTGGAATGTGTCCCTGCCTGGGGCAGGGGACTGGAATTAGATGGTATTTAAAGTTCCTTTCCCAGTCTGGGATTCCATGATTCCAACATAGTAAGTTTACTTGGCTGGCGTGTATTTGAGAGGGCAGCAAGCCTTGCCCAAACCAGCTGTGAGTCGTTGCAGGATATCAGGAGGTCAGGAAACACTAGGAAGTAAGGCAGAATAAATATTTGGGAAAGGTGGAAGGAAGGACAGTTACTGGGGACCAGGTAGTGATGTTGAGAACAGGAGAGGAGAAGCTGTGCAAAGAGGTGAATGAAGATGTTTCATATCTAAGAACTCCTGATAATGGGGGACATCCCCCTTCGAAAGCCAGGAACAAGCAGATAACAGGTTCCCCATGGTAAGGAAAGATGTGGAGTTGAAGATGAGGACACGATGGAGCTGCTAGACCAGGAGAGCATTCTTTCCCATGGAAAACACAGGGCTCTCTCCATTACCCTTTTTTGGGTCCTAAGAATTATTAGCACCTTGCACTGCACTATCTCATTTAATAGCTAATCTCTGTGATTACCCATTGTCAGGTGCTGAGGAAACCACCTGTGTTTGCTGTGCAGGCTTGCAGGGCTCCTGCTGCTCCTGGCCCTGTGTACTCACCGTGGAAAACCATGGACTTTACTCCTCCAGAGTGGGGCTGGAGCACAAAGAACAATTGTTCCTTGTTCCCCAAACTGCACGTCTCGCTGGTGCTCACAGGCAGCTTCAGGGACTAATCGTGGGTCGTGTTGGCCAAACAGGTGAAAGATAAACTGGTGGAGAGTAGGTGCTGGGAGCATGTTGGTGGAACAGCCTGAAGGTGTTCCTGCCCATGGCAGAGGGTGGAACAAGATGAGCTTTAAGGTCCTTTCCCACTCAGACAGTTCTGAGATTCTATGGTTCTGCATGTTGAAAGACCTCAACTCTTGATTTTCTCCCCTTGCTTTCCAGTGCTGGGGGTGTATGTCAAATTCGGGGTGTGAGATTATTTTAAAGCAATTTTCAAAGATTTAAGACACCTGTTTTTCTGGGACAGAGTCCTTAAAAGGAGCCTGAGGTATTAAAATTTTCATTTTTCACAAGGTTTGTTCCTATTCCAACCTTTTCAGACCAAACAAATGTGTTGAATCTGTGCAAATAGTGTCTGGGGCTCTAATTGCACTGGGGGGTTTGCATGGGCAGGAGCCTTCAGCCAACTCCCTCCTTATTTTCTGGCATTGAAGGAAGGCCCCACGATCTTTTTTACTCCAGGCTGGCAGGGTCCGGGCAGACTCTGATGCACAGATCGTGTGCATGAGCTCATTTGTTGTGGCTTCAGTTTGAATGCAGGAGTTTGGCTGCTCTGCGGGAGGGCAGGGGATGGAGGGCTGGGATGGAGGGTTGGGATCAGCAAAGCTGTGGAAAGCTGCCATTCCCCCTTGGAGATACATCTGAAAGTGTTCTTTATTCTTCCCTGTGAGGGTGGTGAGGCCCTGGCACAGGTTGCCCAGAGAAGCTGTGGCTGCCGCATCCCTGGAAGTGTCCAAGGCCAGGTTGAACGGGGCTTGGAGCAAGCTGGGATAGTGGAAGGTGTCCCTGTCCATGGCTGGGGGTGGAACTGGATAAACTTTGAGGTCCATTCCATCCAAACCATTCCATGATCCTATTCTGTGATTCATTTGAGGTCCTCAGTGGTGTTTGCATTTCCCTTGTCACAGATATGGTTGTTGGTGGGCCCATGAGCAAGGAGGGATAGGGATAGGGGAATTTAAATGTACATGGAATCCGTTTGGTTTGTTAATGAGAAATCTCCTCTCCTGTTGGGCACGATGTTGGTGTTGTCCGGCTGGGGCTGGAGTGAGTTCTGTCTGTGTTCCTCTGTGCTTATCCCAGTTTACTGTCACCATCACTGGGAGCCTGGTCCTGGCAGACAGGAGCAGCTGGTCCCATACTGCCTCCCAGATGTCCTGAGCTTGAAGCTAGCAGTGCTCTCCTCCTCCAAGGGACAGATGAACCCCTCCCTCCCTTCCCTCCCTTTTGGGATCAGTGCTGTTTGAGGTCCTCCACAGAAGTGTTTGGTCTCAGTGTGTGGCTTTGGCTTGGTGTACCCTGGGCAAAATAAACCCCATTTTCAATTGGTTCCTCAGCCCAGCAAGGGGAGAGGATCGTGGGTGGGTGGGCATGGCCAGGGCTGGCTCTGCAGAGCTCTGCTGTTCTCAGCTGGCCTCACTCTACATGGCTCCAGCCCCACTCCTGGTCATGCTCCCGATGGTCCTGTTCTCCATCATCTGGGAAGGTTCTAGGGGATGCTGTGGGGGCTGTGACCCCCATCTACCAGCCCCTGTCAGTGTCCAGGAGCGCCCTAGGTCTGGGGCAGGGGGAACTGGACTGGGTGTCATCTCTGCTTTTCCAGCTTTCTCCCAGCTGGTCAAGTCCCTTGTGCCATACTCTGTGGGCCAGGACCACCATGGCCTTCTGTGCTGGAACCAGCCATCCTGAAACAGCAGGAGCTGCCATGCCCAGGCTGGTCCATCCCAGGGCAGGCTCCCCCTCTCCATTCACCGCTTTCCCGGGGGATTGTGTGGGATCCAAGCTTTCCGGCAGTGGGGGCTGCTGTGACCATGCCGGGGCCTGGTGAGCACCAGGCCGGCTGTGCAGCCAGGGCTGGACACTGGCCAGGGGGGAAACAGCTCCTTTGTTTTCCAGGAGAAGTACAAGGGATTATATTCCCTTGAGCTCACTCAGTCTCCCACTTCTTATTGTGCGGTGACATGGAATCAGCTCCTTGGAGGAGCTTAGTTAATTGTTTATGAAATAGGAAGGGTGCTGGTTATCTCTGGTAGGGAGGTGAGCTGGAGAAGGAGGTCGTGGAAAAGGGGTGCTCATCCAGCTCCTGGATTAGGAGGGGTTGAAACCAAATTGTCATTCTGCAGCCCTAGATTTGTGACTCTGTGCTGCACCTGGGGGTGGCTCTTCCAGCCGGGAACATGTACCTCCCCTCTGACTCTGATAAAACGTGCTTCAAAAAGAAACGGACTTATTAATCGTGCTTAAAAATGAAAGGAAGGCTGCGGCGTTGTCGGCAATTGTTGTGCAAATGTGATACTCCCTGCAAGCTGTGGAACAGGCCAGGGCTGTGTTTACCCGGAGAGGCAGTGGCTTTCCAAGTGTAATGAGTCAGCTCTGCGAACAGAAGGGGCGCAGAATTAATCTGGCATCCGTCTGGCCTTTTCTCAGTTAAACAGGTTTTAGAAGCTCCACGTGAATAGGTACCTACCCCTGGTACAAACAGCCACAAAGACTTGGGAGTGGGCACAGGTTTTTTGAGAATAAATTGGCAGCGTGCAGGTCATGGAGCTGTTTGAGCGAGGCACTGGTGGCAACGTGGGGTTGATTTTTGGCTGCAGGTGGGAGCAGAGCGTGTCCCAGTCCCAGCCTGCTCACTGTCAGCAGAGCTGAAGCTGCTTGGGTTTAATATCCATCGGAAAGTGTAAATAAATTTCCGTTGCCCAGCACTTCATCTGAATTTCCACCTCTTAGGTTTGCAGTGAATATTGAAGGGAATATTGTCCTCTGCTCCTGCCTCCTCCCAGGCACACACTCCTTTCTCCTTTACCTGCACCTTAATGAGGCCCAGTAGGTGAAACTGAGGGGAAATAATTCTCTAATTTTACCAGCTGGCTAATGATGCCTGACAAAGTGAGGTTCTTGAGGCTGGGAATGGCTGGAGCTGCTCCTGGAGCCTGGGGGTGGTGGTGTGGGGGAACTCCGGGGCCAGAGCCCCTTGCCTTGGCCAAGGGTTTGGTGAACTCCAGCCCCTCCATGCTGACAGTCCAGGAATGGCTGAGCTGCCTTTTTAAGGTGCTGTTTGCATTGGCCCTGGTGTGCTGAACCCTGGAGCTGTCTCTGAGGAGTGAAGAGCAGAAATGTGGAGACAAATCTCTGCAGGCATTCCCTCACTCAAACAGGTTTTCTTTTTCCTTAATTCTTTATGGGTACGCTGGGTTATTAGACTGAATTTTCTGCCCTTCCCCCCTTCTTGCTGCCCAGCTGTGGCAAGGAGGAGAGTGGATCAGCCTGCTCCTGTCTTGGCCAGTTCAGGTCCTTTTCCTGCTCTCCCAGCTAGAAGGAAAGGGCTGTGGACTGCTGGTTGGGAGTCCCAAAGCTCAGCACCACAGCTGTCCCCACATTGAGCAGGGGGACAGCTCTGTCCCCAAAGCTTCGTTCCTAAACATGGATAACCACCTTCCCATAGTCCAGGCAGAGGAGCTGGGGCTGAGAATTAGCCACCTTGGGAAGCACAGTCACCTAGTGCTGGGACTAGTGCTTTGGTCTGGGAATTTGTGCTGCTGCTGGGCTGTGATGAGGCCTCTGAACCACGTTTTTTTTAAAAAAAAACCCACAAACCAACCCAAAGGGCCCCAAAGCCTCTGAAGCATAAATAAAACATTTAAATTTGAAAGGGATTTCCAGGGAACTTCTGAAATACAAGGCTGATGAAAGCACCACTCTTGAGTTCCTTCAGCCTGTAACCCCTGTCCTGCCCTGCTGCAGGTGTGGGATCCAGCACCTGCCAGGGTGGTGCCAGGCTCTCCCAGGATATGGTTCAAGCTGCTTCAGCCAGGGCTGGCAGGAGGCTTTGGGTTCTGTCCTGTCTCATCCTCTCTCCTTTCTCCTCTCTCTTCTCTCCTCTCTTCTCTGCTTTTTCTCTCTCCCCGCCCCCAGAATTCCCATCTCGTGGTGGAGCACTGCATGACTTTGTTCCTGGACAATTTCCTGCAATTGTAGCTCTGCAGAGCTGCTGGTGTCAGACATTAATGGGTGTGATGTTAGTCCTGGCAGGTGACAATCAGCTGGGGAAAAGTTCCCAAAAGTGCCCTGTTTGTGCCATTCCAGCCTCAGTCCAAGGAGCCTGTTGCTGTTGGGGTTGCTGGGGGTCACTTCTCGCAGATATCTCATTGCACGGGTGCTTTCCAGCCTCTGGTCTCAGGAGAGGAGATATTTTTGTTCACCTAAAGGGCCTTGGCTGCTGTTCCTGATCCCTGTTACAGCTCATGCCTCCCTC